TAATTAGTGATAAGCAGCAATTTAAGTGTTACCTTTCCAATAGCATTGCTGAACTTCGCAAAAGCTTCAACTTGCAAAAACTCTGGCAGTACCTGCACAATTCATTAATGTAAAAGCATATATGGATTACATCTGATAAAGTGGTATAGGGGATGCTCACTTCAGGACTTGTGGCAGCATAGTTTGACAATCTGTCCATGAGTTGAGATAGCACCGTTTTGATATCAACACTTGGCTGCAAGAGAATTTATGTGATGACTTGCTTCATAGTAAAATAAAACAGAAACTGCATATCAGTTAATAAGATCGAGCGAGATTCGTAGTACTAGAACTCTGTACTTCATTGTACTTGCATTGTCAAGCTTTACCATGTTATACCCTGAATATACGAAAGTATAGGTTCATCATCTAACTATGGCACCACAATAAAATAACACACCATAACTATGTATATAATAGTGTGCTTTGCCCTCAAAAGTCCCTTAGCTAACATGATAGTTTCAATCAGGTGAAGACAAAAAAAGTGCGCCTGAACCTATATGTTAATCCTTTCTATAAGTGGTGAAGGCACAGGAGAAAATAACACTATTTAGTTTTGATAATAAACATCAGGTAAACCAACCAAGTCGATCAAAGGCATGAGGATCAATTGCAAGTTGAGTCTTTGATTGACAGAATTAACCTCTGTTATGCAATTATCAGCATGGAACAGCATAAACTGGGGAACTCAGCAGGGAAACAAAGCTAGAAAAGGTGAGGTTGCCAACCTGTAGCTGGGGGAAGGCGCTCAACAATGTTTCCAATGTCTGTAGATGGTATTCGTCTGGAAAGACTTGGATTATGCAGTCCATCAGGTAGAACTGTGCAAGATCGTCCTTACAATTAACTACCTGCCAATATATTTCAGCTTCAGTTTCCACGATATCATGGATGTACATTGTCATTTTATATCAATATATCTAACTTCAAACCTGTTCTGATATCCTTGGAAGAACATTCTCTTTGTACATTTCAAGGTCAACACCTTCGATTTGGCTTAGAACGTGAAGGTTTTTGCCTACCTGGAAAGTTCAGAAGAACTTGTGTCATTAAAATGACTCCAAATAACTGTCAAGTAGAATCTGTAGATGATAATTAATTTACCAGATCACGCAGTTCATTTCTTTCCTTCCCCCGCTTGTCCTTCTCCCGAACAGGCCCCTGCAGACCAGGGTCATCATTTTCGGGTTTCAGCTCAGGATCATCTACATGTCAATGTCTTATAATCACTAAGTTCTGTAAATGTCCAGAACTAAGATTCCGAATGACTGCATATGTGATAAATGATCTTTTTCTGTGCAACATATGTGACTTGGTATGGATGTATAGCAGCCTAACATGGTAAATGCATGATAATAAAGGAAAGGAAATAAATAAAGTTGTGTCCTAAGGTTACACGGCTAGCAAACAAACCTGATGCTGCATCCGAACCCAGAGTTTGTTCATTTCTATGAAATTCTGAAGAACAAATTCAACTGCATCATTAATGCTATCAGCATCCCTGCGTGATAAAAGTTGTTAAAAACAAAAGATGGAATATAAGGAAATTGTTGAAGAAAAGTACTCCCTCCGTCCCAAAATAAGTGACTCAACTTTGTACTAACTTTAGTACAAAGTTAGTACAAACTTGAGTCACTTATTTTGGGACGGAGGGAGTAATTACAAAGGAAATGGAAAAACACTATCTGGACAACTCACTTCCAATGTCCCAAACAACCAACTATAATGAGCTAAGCTAATTACAGATCATTTCAACATGAACCAAAATCAAGTGAGGTCACTGGTAACAGTTAGGATTTGGAGTGTATAGTAATACAATTGCATGCGACTAAGATTGATTAAATCCTATATTAGTTAATGACAAAGCAGGGTTGATGACCAGGTACCAGCAAATAATGAATATCAAGTCCCGGCACCCAAGTGATTATTAATATTGCAGGAGCTGTACAAAATGAAGAGAAAAGGGAACTAGTAACACTAGTGTTACTAGCGCATCATGTACAGTTGTAGAAATACCGTCTAGGTTGCTAACCAAGACATCATGTTTACATGAAAGATTAACTTGTTTCTGTTTCAGTACTAGGTATCCCGTTATACAAAGTCAATGACTCAATGTAATGTGATTATTTTGTAATTATAGCACATGCTACATTTTCACAAGAAATTTGTAGTACATACTTATGTAACAGAATTGGAGAATAAGCTAATTCTTGGTGTCCTAAGGTTAGTGTGTTATTTGTGAGCTCGAAATTGCCATTGGTACACGCATATTAATGAAAGCAAAACAAACTGAAAATAGCTATAGTTTAGAATGATGCGCAGTACCCTTCATACTCTGAACCAATATCAGGTAGCTTGTCTCGGCTTATCTGAGAGAGGTAACTTCTTAGGAAAAGTCCACGAAGAGGATGTTGAATGCCCCGACACATTTCAACAAGATCTTTCAGAACATCTTTAGCGGGAGCCTCTTTTGATTTAATGTACACAGATCCTACTGTGCAGAGCAGATAACTAGCACATGAACAACATAAGATCAGATAATACTATTCATAAGTTCTTTAAATAGAAAGAAATTACAGTGTTGTACAGATGGCATGATAAACAACTAGCTTGGTATTTACATATATTAGTTTTACACGGGTCAGTTACAATAAAATAGATAATAAAAGAACAGCATAATTATGGGACCTGGCAGTCGGGATCTAAGCAGAACTCAGGACTAGATCATGGACACACCGTCTTATTTATACAACGTTCCAAGCTAATAAACAATTATCATGTCCTAAAAACACAGTAATAAGCAGAAACATATAAATTAATGGCTGAGCGTGAGGGCCAAACATACAGGCAAGTGTTGAGTGAAGTTAAAACTTAACCTAAATCCAAACAACAACAGTTTAAAGTTACATAAAATTTATAGGGATAGGGAGGTTCAGAAACTGCTTTATGTGAGTCAAAGTTCTATCATGCAAGGCTTGAAAATCCGTGTAATTTTGCATTTTTCCCTAGTTCAAAGACAAGTCCATGCCAGAATATAAGCAGCTGCAATATTCCTGATAATAAACACATTATGAGTTATGTCGACAAGAACTCAAATTAATTGGGTCTAAAGCTGAAAGAAGCAGCAGGTTTGGCTAAAAGGTGGATCGCAATTATGTTAAGTTTTGATTGAATGACCTTTAGACTTCATTTACAACTTAAGTTCCACAAAGATGAAATAATGCCTAGACTTAGTTCATGATTTATGTACAAACAAGTTTAGACAGTATCATTGGAGAGTCTAGTCCTGACATATCATTCCACACTCTTTGCAAGCAACTGAGATGTGGTAAAGAATAAAGTTTCCTCGATTGTGTTTGAACTTAACAAGACACAGCTAAAAGAATTGATTGGTCCCACCACCAAGCAAACTCTGAATACGATACTGGTTATAATTTTCCCAATGGTATTTGCAGGTGCAGTTGAATTGATACAACCATACAAATTAGTACAGTAACTTCTAACTGATATGGTACTTCACGAATGACAGTACAATATGATATAGCACATGTTGAATGGCATGAAATGTCTTAGTGAACCATAACAAGTACTCCCTCCGTCCCATAATATAAGAACGTTTTTGACACTAGTGTAGTGTTAAAAACGTTCTTATATTATGGGACGGAGGGAGTAATAAACTGTGTCCATTTTGCAATATTGGGAACTAATCTACAATACAACGAGGAATAACTGGTGGCAGAACGGAATTACATATCTACTGTCTACTGTTCAAATGTGTGGAACTGCAGATGCATTAAGTCTTTCATTCATATATGTCTCCATAGAATTTGCACTTCATTCAAACTAGTCTAATCAACACGATTCTCATAGTTGTTAATGTGAACATAGCATGTCATTTACTGACAATATCCCACCGAATGGAATGGTACCCACTGTCAATCTCTTCCGAGCAAGTAAAATTGAACTAGCATCAATTCTGTAAGAGTTAGCCTTACAGTCTCGGCAACACGTTGCCAGCATGCTGAACAAGCTCGTAGAGGTCAACCACGGAGCAGCTGCCCCGGCGGGTCTCCTCCCTGAAGAACATCTCCAGCTTCCGCATCTCATCGAACGCCCTCATGTCTGCAGCAGCCCAACAAAGTGAAATCCTGTCAAACCCCAGCCGAACCCACACACACTCACGGAATTCGACGGCGCCCGGAGAACCTCCCACTCACATAGCTCGTAGTACTTGTGCGGGGAGAGCCTGGAGGTGCGCAGCTCCGAGAGCATCTGCGCCGAGTACTTGAGCGCGTCCTTGAGGTTGTTCGAGTCCTGCAATCCGCCCACGAAATCGCCGATCGAGGCGGGGGTAAGCTAGCGACCGGGGGAGCTAGGGTTCCGCGGGAGGGGGAGGGGAAGGGAGGGGGCGGGGCTTACGAGGGCGCGGTGCATGTAGAAGGCGTTCTGCTGGACGCCGGCGATGCCCTCAGCGAGCCAGCGCTCCTCGTCGTCGCCGCCGCCGTCGGGCAGCATCCTGGCGGCCGCCGTGTTGGCCGCCTCCGGTGGGGCGGCGGATCTGGTCGGCGGCGGCGGCTCTGGCTCGGGGGGTTGGGGATCTCGTCGCGCGTGGCTCTGGCCCTTCGGGTTTGGCTGCGTGCGGGTGTCTGTGTTCTTCGCGTGTTTGTTTATGTTCAGTTTATCTCTGTGCTTCGATTGATGCCTTTTCCCCGGATCCCGAATGGTTTCGATCGGAACCGATGCATACAGTTGACCGGCTGGTCTGCCAGGGGCTGACTTACCCATGAAGTAGATCTCACGAGTGGTCTAGTATGTAATTTCTTGGTAGTATTCTTTTTTTATATTCTCAGCAAAGAATATTTTTTTATAACATAACATGAGTTCTATTTTCTTGGAATAATAATTCTTGTATTACTCATATACAGTCACGCTTAACAGCGTCCAAAACGACATCAGGTCCTGACCCAAGCCAAACAACAGTTCGGCCTTTGCTCCCAAAATTTGCTAAAACATGACTCGACGAATTACAATTTCGACGGACATGAGTAATACAAGAACTATGAGACATATTTTCTTTTTTCTCTCTAATCAAAAAGGCGTACTTTGATCTGTCTCTCTCTCCACTTGTCACCATGTTCACTGGTAAGTGCCTCCAAACAGTCACTTTCAACATCGATCGGTAGGTCTCTCCACTGTAATGTCAACATGAGTCCTTCCCGAATCGCTAAGATCTCAGACTCCAGCACATCATCACACGTGAAAAGATGCCTACATAAGCTGAAAATAATAGCTCCGGAGTGGTCGCGTAGCAGCATACCCGCTTCTCCAACTCCGCCCAGGATAGATCCATCGGTGTTAAGTAACAACGCGAGCACAGATGCATCAGTCCTGAACAGTAAAATCAAAACAAATGGTAAAGAATAAAAAATTGATTTATTTGTGGCAAACATTGTTAAATGTTCTGAGTGGTTGCAAAGTTTCATGATAAAAAGTTAGAATTTTTTTGAATTATCTACCATTTGTTTTGAATTTACTATTCATCCAGATCCATATCCCATGAATGTCTTTTCAATAATGAAACTTTGCAAGCACTCGAAACATTCAACAGTCTTGCCAAAAAATCAAAATCTTTGAACTTTTTACCATTTGTTTTGAATTTACTATTCATATGGGTCCATATGTACTCGCGAGCAGATACTCCACATTCCTTAAATAAGATCATCTCTAGTCATTCTGCTCCTTAAATAAACCACTTTCTCAAACTAAACTCACTATAAAAAGTAGCATGTTCCTTCCATCACTTTGCACAACCGAGCTGAGAAGGCAGAGGCGGCTCTTGAAGAAGCAACCGGGGAATTAACCGGCTTAAAACGCCATGTCTCTCAAATGGTCTCAGCGATCTTTGGTAAGTCGCCCTGCAAGCGTTAAATACTTGAACCTTTCAATTGATCATATAATTGGAATTGACTCACCTGATCATGTTTATGCAGGCCCCAGGAGTTCAAATCTGAACCAAGATATGTTGATCAAGCTGAAGGCAGTTTATACACTGGTGGAACAACTGTACACCGGGTGTCAGCATGCACTAGCCACGGTGGCTTTGTCAAATGAAGTGCCTACCCTCCTGGCAGAGGTCTTGAAGAAGCTTTCCGTGCTACCCCAACCGTTCAATGAACTGAAGCGGTCAGCTGCAAGATTCGGAGTGGTAAATGCTTTAAGCCGGGCCAAAGCTTGGCTACCAGAGTTAGACCCGGCCGACATTGCCACTAGCTATCCAAGCTTGAAGGAGGACGACACTCCCTTTGAACACGAAGACTTTACCGCTTGTGTAAAGGAGATACGCCCCATGGCCACCCGGATAGCTGACGAAGTGGATCTTACCAAGTACCAGGCGGGTTATGACGTTGAGAACCAGAGAATTCCAACGCCTCACTATAAAGTGACCAGTCTGATCCCCCACTCCGTAAGCATACCTTCGCCCCTGAAGTTGACCCGACCGGACTAGTTGATGATGAAGCTGAATTTGAAGCTTTGAACAACATTGACTGGTCATCATCAACCTTCTAGGAAAGGGGACAGGGCGAAGAAGCGGAGAGGGCTGACCAGGACGCTTCAGGCGAACATGAGAGCTAATCTGGCGTGGCGGCTCATACCTGTGATGTGCTTAAAAACAATATGAATCATTTGGACTCGGGGAGTCATGTAATAGATTAGAAATAACTTTGATTTGGCCGTGCCATCGTGCACGTTTTGGTGCTTAATGCCATTAAGCTGACGTGTTATATTTACCCGTGTTTACTTTTCATCTGCTTCCCGTATGCTTGACCAATTCTTTTAACTGTCCTGCACATAAAAACAGACCACAAGATCCCTTGGTGGCTTACCGCAAGGTGGGTCATAATAAACTTGATATATTAAGATGAAAAAAGAATCACACATAAGTTTGTTGTAACATATAATGTTTAAAACACAACTATAATCTTACACCTGTGACCTTTTTGAATTTGCACTGCCGGCTTGTATGACCCGGTCAGTAAGGGTGATAACCCAATCTTTGGACACCAATATTTCCAAAGGTATAATGATGCTCATATATTGGCGACTTACCAGCCAATATCAAGCCGGGTTAAAATTAACCACACTTATACTTGTAAACCTGAAAAGAGTCTCAAGTCAAATAAAGGGTGCTTCCAAAGAAAACTTAAACCAAATAGAATATAAAAAATTAAAGGCTTCTGATTCGAATACGATCAGTAAACCGTTCCAGAGGGGTTAAGCTAGGATTCGAATACGATCATGTAGCCCCCAGTGGCTTTGGCGTTGCGCCGATCAAGAAGGTACCGACAGCTATGTTCTCTTTGGTTCGAATACGACCTATGTTTGAACATGAAGCCCCCTAATGACCTTGAGAGTTTTTTAACGACTCTGATTCGAATATGATCAAAGTCGGTTCCCAAAAGGGGTTGAGCTATGATTCGAATACGATCAAGAAGCCCCCTAATGAGCTCGGCAGTGTGCCAATCAAAAGGGTACCGATATCTATGTTCTCTTTGGTTCGAATACAACCTATGTTTGAACAGGAAGCCCCCTAGTGATCATAAATTTTAACTGCTAGATTCGAATACGATCGTAAGCCAGATCAAGAGGGTAAAGCTAGATCTACAATCAGCCCCCAAGTGATCATGACAATGATAATAACAATGACACATTTACCTTTGAGGAGGAAAAAAGGACATAGGTATTGCTTTATTATTTATAATAATATATACATTGTCAAAACATGTACATCACGAGAGCCGGTGGCTCAAGTGTAGTATGGCCGAAGATGAGCGATATTCCACGGCCGGTGGGGCTCCTCCTCCGACTTACGTGAGTCTTTGTGCTCTCGAACATCGATAAGGTAGTATGACCCGTTGTTCAAGTTCTTGCTGACCACAAAGGGCCCTTCCCAAGGTGGGGATAACTTGTGTGCATCAGTTTGATCCTGGATGAGCCGGAGCACCAAATCACCTTCCTGAAAGGTTCTGGTCTTAACCCGGCGGTTGTAATAACGGCGCATGTCCTGTTGGTAAATCGCTGAGCGAGCTGCTGCCAAGTCACGCTTTTCATCTAACAGGTCAAGGGCATCCTGACGCGCCTGCTCATTGTCTGCTTCAACATAAGCCGCCACGCGGGGCGAGTCATGACGGATGTCACTAGGGAGAACCGCCTCAGCTCCGTAGACCATGAAGAAGGGCGTATAACCCGTAGATCTGTTGGGGGTAGTGTTGATGCTCCATATCACAGAGGGTAATTCCTCAACCCAACAACCCATCGTCCGGTGCAAGGGGACCAAAAGCTGGGGCTTGATGCCTTTCAAGATCTCCTGTTGGCTCTCTCGGCTTGACCATTAGATTGAGGGTGAGCCACTGATGAAACATCAAGCCGAATATGCTCACGTTGACAAAATTCTTCCATGACGCCTTTAGACAGATTAGTGTCATTGTCAGTTATAATGCTGTGTGGAAAGCCGAAGCGAAATATCACCTTTTTCATGAACTGAACCGCCGTAGCTGCATCACACTTACTGACTGGCTCTGCCTCAACCCACTTTCTAAATTTATCAACCGCCACCAAAAGGTGGGTCTTTTTATATTTGGACCATTTGAAAGGCCCAACCATGTCAAGCCCCCAGACTGCAAACGGCCAAGTAATTGGAATCATACTCAACTCTTGAGCCGACACGTGAGCCCGTCTTGAGAACTTCTGACAACCGTCACATTTACTGACCAGGTCCTCTACATTAGCATGAGCCGTCAGCCAATAGAATCCATGACGGTACGCCTTGGCCACAAGGGACTTTGACCCGACATGATGGCCGCAATCCCCTTCATGAATCTCATGTAGAATTTCTTGGCCTTCTTCAGGGGAAACACAACGCTGAAATGCCCCTGTAACACTGCGATGATGCAACTCGCCATTGGCAATTGTCATTGACTTAGACCGCCGGGTTATCTGCCTGGCCAAGATTTCATCCTCAGGCAACTCGCCCCGGGTCATGTAAGCCAAATATGGCACTGTCCAATTTGGGATGACGTGAAGAGCCGCCACCAATTGTGCTTCTGGGTCAGGAACAACCAAGTCTTCCTCTGTAGGTAACTTGACAGAAGGGTTATGCAGAATATCCAAGAAAGTATTAGGTGGCACCGGCTTACGCTGAGAGCCCAGACGGCTTAAGGCATCAGCCGCCTCGTTCTTTCTACGGTCAATGTGCTCCACTTGGTAACCCTTAAAATGTCCAGCAATGGCATCAACTTCACGGCAATAAGCCTCCATGACAGGATCCTTGGAATCCCACTTGCCTGATACTTGTTGAGCCACCAAATCTGAGTCACCAAAACACCTTACCTGGCTTAAGCTCATCTCCTTAGCCATCCAAAGACCATGGAGTAAGGCCTCATACTCAGCTGCATTGTTAGTACAGGGAAACATCAACCGTAGCACATAACAAAATTTGTCACCTCGAGGGGAAGCCAAAACAACTCCAGCCCCCGAGCTCTCCAATTGCCTGGACCCGTCAAAGTGAATAGTCCAATATGTATTATCCGGCTTTTCTTCAGGCATCTGCAGCTCTGTCCAATCGTTGATGAAATCCACCAGTGCTTGAGACTTGATAGCAGTGCGTGGCACATACTTTAAACCATGAGGCCCAAGTTCAATGGCCCACTTGGTAACTCGTCATGTGGCCTCTCTGTTTAGAATGATATATCCTAAAGGAGCAGAACTAACCACAGTGATAGGGTGGC